TTATCACAAATATTCTAATTTTATGAGACAGTCCTGTATTGCATAGTTTATTTTGGCACTTGACAATCACCTTCCCTGAATTTGACTCAGGTGTAACTGAATTCTGATTTAAGGGTTGTTTATATTTCACATCATTAATCAGAATCTGCAAAGTAACTAAAATAAATGTAGTTACCAAGTTAACCTCTGAATTGTAGAACAAAGTTAATACATGCTGCTGTAACAAAAAGTGGACCCGTTCGAGTCCAGTTTTGGATAGTCTGCCGTGGTTCCATTCCATTTCAAAGAGCTGTTTGACGCTCGGTGTAACCTTGTCGCACTGCCACTCCAACATCCAATCACAGAGTTTGAGGACTAATCACGGGGTTTGTAGAGCAAAGCGGATGTTGTAGTCCCAAACAATAGCTAGGATTATGGATGGATAAACTCCGAAAAAACTATTTGTTTCTCCGAATCGAAGGTTAAAAACACAAAAGCATTGTACAAAATTTAAACCAATCAATATTGTGTAATTAACAAGGATAAACTGATGTTTTTTAGTCGATGAATAATGCAGATATCACTGTGTAATCATTTGACCATGAGGGGAATACTTCCGGTTTTATTATGAAAACTTCTAGACCGGAAATACTGTTTTCACCCCGTGAGGGTTAACGCCAACTGTACATGGACACTGCGGAAATAAGTAGTATATATGTTCTCCTGGCGTGACCTCAAATCATCTTCGTAATATCTATCAAACTATAGATCCTACACATCCACTGGACGTGAATTCTAAAAGTACAATATACACTTCTAGAAATGCTAGAAATCTAATCAAAAAGCTTTTTAATGGCCAAACTATTCCACAATTTAGGATTTCCCAGAGAGGGTTATTTGTGAATAAACGACCCTCCGGAGCNGCATGTTAATGCCAACTATCCTACAATTTAGGATTTCCAGAGAGAGGGGTTATTTGTGAATAAACGACCCTCCGGAGCGTTTGCAATCAACGGGAGCATGTTGTTTCTTACACGACCACTAGAGGTGCTACACTTTAAAACGTGACTATGGGTCGTAATAAGCTGCTGAACAATTGACATACTTTGTCGTTTTTTGTAGGAGGACAGGCTGCATTTGCACTATGTACGCACATCATCTTTTTTTATATATATATCCTGCTTTCTTGAAGTAAACGGTTATGTTGTGGTTTTTTGTAATTATTGAGTCTTCTTGTATTTTAATGTGTGTTTTTTTATACCTCGGGACTGTGGGAAACAGTATTTTGATCTTTCTGTGAGTACAAACATATTTTGAGATTGACAATAAAGTTGACTTTGACTTTGAAATATAAAACATTTATGTGACTGCACTGACTTCGTTCATCATAATGCATTCATCTCAAGAAATGTGTCGCTTCAAATGCAAATGGAGTTTAATTTTAAATGGTTTGTACTCAAGTCCAATTAGGAAAACAAACCATCTTGCGGACCAATCAAGGATTCTTAGAGTCAATATAAAGTTGCAATATGTGAAAACACATTTGTAATATATTCATGTGTTATGAAAACAGCCGACGCGACTAATGTCTAGTACCGTGACACAACAGGCTGTCACCACCAACAAACGTAATACAGATGGCTTCTTCAGCACAGCCAATGGCTTCTTTAAGCACAGACAATTTCACACATGAAAGATTTACACCCAAGCAATGGGAAATCCATCCATCTGAAGCCTTTGAGGTGTAAAGAAGTAAAAAGAACACAGAGCCTGTCAGCCTCTGAGGTACGGACGCATTATATTATAGGTCTCAAACACATTTGCTTTAACATTGTGAGAACAAAGCTTATTTTAAACTGTATATGCAGGCAAATATCACAAATCACATATCTTCTTTTACAGAAGTTAAACAGACATTGCATTGACACAGGGAAATAGGACGGTGATGTATCTCTATCGTCATGTTCCCCTCAAAGACAAAATATGTTGATCATGTGAGGATAAGATTATATAAAGATATCTTCAAGATGAACATTTGTTATTTTTTATTTTAATCGTTTATTTAGCAGGGACAATGCACAGTAATGAACACTTAAAACATTCAAGCGTAACAGTGCCAAATTTAGCTTTGAGCTAATTTCCATCCACAGTCCCTCACATAAAACATTTAAGAAGATTACATTTTACAAACATGGCAAAAACTAAATAAATAAAATGGAGTTACCCCTTTATTAAAGTGCATTTAGCTGTGATTGCACGTCTGTTTGTTTCTCAACCATTCTTTGAGAAGAGAGATGAGAACATCTGGGGAAGTGTAGGAGTTGGCCTTGCTTGTGATGGAGAGTAGCACAAGAATACCGGTAAATATACTTTGTTGTCAACGTAGAGTATAGAAAAGTAATAGTTTCCATGTGCACAGATAAGTGTCAACATTAGGTCAAGGACATTATGCTTGTCAGAAATGACCTGTTGTTGTTGTGAAAGGAATAGTATAACATCTGACCATTTA